ATTAGGGTTTGTATGGAAAGACTAAAACTAATACTTAAAAAAACTTAATTCAAGACAATAACAAGCATGAAAATAACACACTTGCATACAAATACCTCTAGGGTTATTCCACTGGGTTGCCTTACACAAAATGGCCATATTACGTATGTAAGGTATCTTAGAAAAAACAAGCAAATACAAGATCATAGTCCCTCGATGACGCTATCCATGTTGTCTTTCAAATGATCTTAGTCCCTAAAAGAGAATGCTAAGATACCTTGCAACATTGCTAATCATGGTTATACGATGATCCACGCCCGTCCCGTTTACATCCAAAGACAGGGTTACTTACCAAATCAATGGTAAGATAATAATGTCAAAGGAAAAGGAAAATGAACAAGAAAGAATTTTGAGTAGGTAGAATGCTCCTAATTACTTGCTCAATTTCAAGCAAACATCCTCGCTATTTTCAAAACAAACACTTACACTTTCAAACATCTTGCAAACTTGAAAACATTTTCAAAAGATCAAACATCTTTGTATATATTCTTACAAACAAGAATCATTACAAAAATTGCCTAAACAATGGCCTCTTTACAAAATACTTTCAAAAAACCACACCAAGCATAATTTCAAACAAAAGCAAGTGATCTAGCAAGCAACTAAGAGCCCATGGAAAACCATGAATGAAAATGGTGCTAATACATTCCCTTTTCATAATCTACCCCCAAACTCTAGAAATAATCTCAAAGGTCTTTCCTGTGCTTTTTTACCTTTCCTTTTGGATAAAAGAAAAATCGATGACGACTCTTGCTAACCGCAACATTTGCGATCAAACGCAAAACCTTCAAGTCAGTTCTCCCACCGTATCACAATGAGGTTATGTTTAGTGGTCAATGGCTTCCTACTTGGGCAATGGATGAAAAATTTCAAGTCACTCATTCCTATAATAGTCAGGAATTTATAGTTGACATATCTAAGAGATTATGCACTTGTTATTTTTGGGATTTAGTTGGTATTCCTTGTAGGCATGTTGTTGCTGCTTTAGGATTTAGGCAACAAAATCCAGAGGATTTTGTTGATCACTGTTATTATAGAGACAAGTATGCAATATGCTATAGTTTTTTTGTGAGTCCAATTAATGGTGAGGAAATGTCGCCAGAACTTCAGTCAAGTGAGATTTTACCCCCTATGTACAAGAAAGGTCCAGGCAGACCAATAAAGTTAAGGATAAAGGAGTGTGGTGAAGAGGGTGCTAGAAGGAGAATATTTCCAGGTGTATCTTACAGATGCACTAAGTGTGAAAAATGTAGTCACAATGCTCAAACATGTAAAAGCACAACACAAGATGCCAATGGACTAAACAGAAAGGTATTATTAGTGTGAATTTTCAACTGATATATCATGTATTTTGAACTAACATATCATGTATTTTGAACTAACAAGTAATGTGTTTAATTTTTATAGAGGAAGGTCAAGGTAGGTACAACTGAAACTGAAATTGCAACACCCCATGCTGCAACTGAAACTGCAACACAAGCTGGTGGAAATCAAACTGCAGTACCCCATGCTGCAACTCAGACTGCAGTACCCTATGTTGCAACTCAAACTGCAACCAATGAACCAATTAACTATTTTAGTGACATAACTGATGATTTCATTTCAAGCATTCCTGAAGTAAACACGACACAGTGTTCTGCTGTGGTTGGTAAACCAGACAACAGAGGCAAGAAAAGATTGAAAGTGAAAGATGTCATGCCAGTGAGAAAGAGGTCCAGTGAAAGAATAAAACTCCATTGGTTTCAAAAACCAATCAAAGGGCCAGGTTCAAACCCCGAGCAGCCTATGTATTTGATAGAAGAAGAAGGAAGTGGTTCTAAACATGCAATGAAGAAATATAAGAAGAAGTAGTCTTATGTTTGTATTGTCTATTATGCCCTTTTGATACCTTGGCATTAAGTTATTGTTTGTGTTCTTATGGTTTGTTAGGATGTTATGCCCTTTTGTAATGACATTGACATTTTGTATCCTTATGGTTTGTTAGGCTGTTATGCCCTTTTGTAATGACATTGGCATTTTGTTCTACTTATGCCTTCATGTAATGAATCCTTTGTGAGCAACCCCTCACATAATTAATTTTGAATGATAGCAAATATGTGTAAAATAATCAATGAATGTTAAAAATGTTTTTATCTATATGTGTGCATTGTAAAAATATAGTATAACATGTTTAAAAAAAGTTTAAAATATGTTTTACACATAAAACACTTTTATTAGTCGACACAAAGAGCTTTGCATCGACACATACTTAAGCAAAGAATCATAAACACGATTCTGCCTAAGTATAAATCGACACATCCATGTTACGCATCGACTCATAACATGTTGATGCCCCTGGAATACAATTTTCAACCTTTATGCATTGATACATAACTTCATGCGTCGACACGTGATATATTGATGTCCCTGGAAAATATTTTTCAACTTGTATGCATCGATACACAACTCCATGCATCGATACATAACACGTTTTATCTTCAAAAATAAAAAATTCAATTCAGTATGTGTCGACACATACGTGTTATGTGTCGACTCATGTAAAATGGTTGGCTCTGTAATATATTATAGTATTAGTTTGCATCGACTCATAACAACTTGCATCGACATGTTGTATAACTAACATGAGTCGACTCATGCTAACATGTATCGACTCATAATGCGTGTTTCTGTCTCTAACCGTTTCTTGTTACATATATAAGTAAGTTTTCAGCAGCAATTCAGGTGTGACACATTATTACAATTGGGAGCATCAATTACTGAGCAATAAGAAGCCTGAAAGATACTTCATCTTCATCATCTTCCCAATCATCTTAATTCAACAACAACAATGAAAGTCAAACATCTTTGTTCAATTGGACAACAACATCCACATCGAAGAACCTTTGAATACTCGTACGAATTGCAACTTTCAACACTCTTGCTAGCATCCTCCATTTGAACGTAGGGACGATTTGCAGTGAAAATGGTTCAACACGGTATTGAGGGAAGAAATTAGCAAGACGGTATAGACAAACGGTAGGGACAAACACGGTATTGAGGGAAGAAATTAGCTATACGGTATGGACAGACGGTAGCTGCTGAACGTGTCTGTTGAAACATGAAGAAGGCGAAGACAAAAAGCTTGGGAAATAAATTGAATAGAACCCTAGATTTTACGGGGGGTGAATCACAATGTTGGGAACTATGTTTAATATGCACAAACATTTCAACATGGCTTTTAATAACACAGTCAATAAATAATCTAATGTCACGTATGAAACTCATAGGGAATCTTGAGGTACAGGATTTTCTGTTTGAGAATCTATATTTGTTAAGGGGCGAAAAAAATTATTTTTTTTAATAGTGGATAAATCAAAACTCACTACTATTGCAAGGGGGTAAAGTATATATAACCCTTTTAATTATGTATAGAGAAAAAAAAATATATTTAACCCTTAGATATTGTTGGAATGATATAGCAAATGTGAGTAAGTGGAGAAATAGTCTCACATTAGATAGAAATGTAGAGACTTAAACATATATAAGTGAGAGAATTCACTCACCTATTACCTTAAGATTTTAGATGAATAAGTGATGTGTTTCTCACAAAGATGTTTATTCCTACAATATGTATCAATGTCATGTATATCTCTTAAGTTTTGAAGAAGTACAAATCCAATACAACTTTAAAATTCAATGATAAATTATATATTTTCTATTTTCATATCGTTAATCACCCTCAATAATCTTATTGTAACTACTACAATTGTTAAGGCTTGCTGCCTAAACTTCTATTTAACCGTAATATTGCCTAAAATGTAAAGTGTTAGATTTTTCAGATTAGATTTTTATATCCGAAAGCGGTTTTTAACTGGAAAAACCAATTGTAAAAAATTAATATTCTGATTTTTACATTTGAAACTGGTTCTAAATTGAAAACTTGTTATAAAGTCTATAACCAGTTATAAATGTTGGTTTTGGGTATAATCAGATTTGTAAAAGCAAAATCATTCATGTGGATTGATTATAATATTCAGTTATGATAAATAGTTATAAATTAGTTATGGATCAGTTAAATGAATAATCCAACCATTTGCATCCTAACTGGAATTTATGTCAAAGTTACATAATGGAGTAGCTTTTCATATGATGGATTCAAAGTGAAATTGTTCTTAATTGAATTGGTAAAGGATTGGTGTATATAGGGGCTGTTAAAAAAACCAAGAATTAAACTGAACCGCCAGATTATAGTTAAAATAGTTGAACAAATATATTTGGTTAATGAATCAAATCATATTGTTCAAATAATTTTAGAACTGAACTAAAACTGAATCAAACTAAAACTGAAATTAAACCGAACTAAAACTAAAAAAAAAAAAACTAAAAACAAATTTTAAATTTAAAAAAAAAAAAAAAATTTAACCGTTTGATTTTTTAATAAATTGTTTGGTTTGGAAAAATTAACTTCTAATGGTTCGGTTCGGTACGGTACAGTTCAGAATTACTAAACGGTATACCAAACCAATAATTTTAATTCGGTTCAATTCTAAGTAAATTGAAACGGTTCGGTTCAATTTGAATATATTTTTACTATAATTTGGTTCGGTTCGATTCAATTTTCTCAGTGAACTATTTCATACTTAACTATACCATAAACAGGCTAGGTGTATATATCAGTACCCTCATTCTTCATATCATCCTGTATCTAGTTTGGTGCACTGCCTTTATTTGATTAAACCAGTTCACCTTAGTTTAATGTGTCTCCTGGTTTCTGATTTCACAAGTAATAACTCCAATCTTAACATTGATTGAAGTTGCTTTGTAATATTGTATTACTAACAATATATAACACAACAAAATATAGAAACAAATTGTGAAACAAGGCAAAACAAACTCCTTAACAACTCTAGATAAAATCTTACAAGCTTCAATTCATTCACCTGTCATAATAATTATAAACAATAAATAACATGGTTAAATTATTAAGCACTGTTGCTGCTTCCTTCATTTGATCCAGGCATAAGCTCTCTCAACATGGCAACTACCTGCAACATGCTTGGCCTTCTCGAAGGAAAATCATCGACACACCGCAAAGTAACCTCCAAATATCTCAACATTTCTTTCACTTCTTTCACTTCTGCTTCATTTGTTCCTCCTTGAGTCTCCAAAAGCAAATCAGAATCAATCACTTCCATTTGTTTCCCTTCGCGCACCTTAATCTTAGCCCATCCGACCAAGTTTGTGTCGCCGAAATCCTCTTTATCGGTAGGACGCTTCCCGCTAAGAAGCTCCAACATTACAACACCAAATGAGTATACATCACCCTTTGCAGTGCACCTGAAACTTTGGTAGTATTCTGGTGGAACATATCCTGGTGTTCCTGCTAGTGTGCTTACACTAAGATGTGTATCGAGCGCGCTTATTAGTCTTGCCATCCCGAAATCCGAGACCCTTGACTCCATTTCATGATCAAGTAACACATTGCTTGATTTCATGTCTCTGTGTATGATGTGAGGGATGCAATTGTGATGCAGAAAACAAAGTCCTTTAGCAGCACCTCTTGCAATTTTCTTCCTTTCTTCCCATGTTAAAATGCGTCGATCGCGTGTCTTTATTCTTCCGTGGAGCATCTCTTCTAAGCTTCCGAATTCCATGTATTCATAAACAAGTAGCCTCTCTTCACCTACTTTGCAGTATCCTAATAAAGGGACAAGATTTCTATGCTTGATTTTTCCTAAGGTTTCCATCTCAGCCATGAATTCTCTATCGCCTTGGCAACTCAGTCGAATGAGCTTCTTTATCGCGACGGACGATCCGTCTTTGAGTGTCGCCTTGAACACTTCACCGAAACCACCACAACCTATTAGGCTTTCTGCTGAGAAGCCATTGGTTGCTTCAATCAACTGTGAGAATTTAAGCTTCCTCAACTGCCTCTGAAATGTTGCAACATTAATGCTTAATGGCTCTTTCTCTTTATCAATTTTCCATGTCGTAGCAGCATGGCAAGCTTGCAATCTCTTAAGCATCTTCACTTCATCGGCCTCTTTCCTCCTTACGCGCATTGCAATCGCCCACACAATCAAAATACATACAGAAGCAACAGAAATCAGAACTCCCATGACAATATTGTTTGCCCATGATGCAACTGATTTTCTTTGGCTTCCTTTGCTAACATCATCACTTGGATTCGATGTCGATTGGCTGTTGTCATTTTTGCAGTCGGGCAACGGAACGCCGCAGAGGCCTGGATTGTTTGCATATTGAGTGGCTGGAAGTGTACTAAGCTGCCCCCTAGATGGAATTTGACCTGTTAACTCATTGTAAGATAGATCTATCTGCACTAAAAATGATAGGTTTGAGAATGAGTCTGGGATATGACCCTGAAGTCTATTATGAGATGCATCAAAAACTCCCAAGTTTTTGAGCTGGCCAAGGGATGAAGGTATTTCTCCAGATAGTTGATTGTGAGACAATTCAAGTACCTGTAAGGCAATCATATCTCCGAATTCGTCCGGTATTTTTCCTCGAAGCTGATTGTAAGAGAGGTCAAGATACTCAAGAGTCTGATACTTGGTAAACAAGCTAAGCACAGGACCAGAATACAGTCTTGTGAAATCACAAGACCTCAATGTCGGTATCTGTGAAAGCCGTTCGGACCGGATTCCATAGAATTCTAACAAACCTCCAACACCTTTACACGAGTTTCCGACATTTCGTACAAACACCAAAGTGTTTCCTGAAAGAATACCAAACAACGATTTCGCTCCTTGCTGTCTTCCAAGTCTAGGAGGGATCTCTCCTGTGAGCTTATTGCTGTTCAAATCCAACCACACCAAACTGTTGCAATTTGCTAGCTCTGAAGGTATCTCACCAGTGAAGCTGTTGTTTCCAAGCTGAAGAACAGCTAGCCTCGTCAAAAGTCCGAACTCTTTCGGTATTTCGCCCGTGAGTTCATTGCTTGTCAATGATATCCATTCAAGATTGCTGCAATTGAACAACTCAATAGGAATTTCACCACTAAGGTGATTGTTATTCAATATTAAATCCTTTAGATGCTTACATTGTCCCAACTTTGGTGGAATTTTTCCTTCCAAACCATTGAACCATGCTATCAACTGCTCAAGATTCTCAAGCTCTCCTAACTCATCAGGAATCGAACCGTTCAAATAATTCAAACTAAAATCAATAGTCTTCAATTGCGAACACTTGGACAATTCAGCAGGAATCTCACCTGTTATGAGATTATCAGGCATTCTCAGTTCTTCAAGTGAGCCTGCACCTGGACACAAATCTCTAGGGATGGTTCCATAAATCTTATTCGAGCTGAAATCCACAATCCTCAACTTCTTGCATGAAGATAATGAAGATGGAAACTTCATAGAGATAGCATTATTTCCCAACCTAAGTTCCTGCAATGATCCAAGGCTCCGAAACACCGACTCGGGCAATTCACCTGTCATATTATTGTTGGATATATCAACAAGTTGCAGCCAAGTGCAAGAATTGAAACCACTCGGAATGGAACCAGTAATATTGTTGAAAGAAAGTTTAAGTTCTAAAAGAGAACCACAAACATTTCCCAATTCAGAAGGGATCCAACCAGTGATTTGATTGTGTGAAAGATCCAAAGTCTGTAATCTCTTCAACTCACCTAAATTCTTCGGAATTCCACCAGATATGAAATTGTTTGCTAAATTCAAACTCTTAAGACTAGTGCAATTCGACAGAGAAACCGGAATGGAGTCTGATAAATGGTTTCCTGATAGATCAATCTGCAACAATGATTTACAGTACTCAATTCTCAAACCAGAAATTGAACCTGTCAAATTGTTTGAAGACAGATCAAGGGACTGAAGTTTATCAGAATTTTGTATAAAATTCTCAGGAATAGGACCTGTCAAATTGTTGTAAGAAAGATTCACAACAACAAGATTAGGACAGTTGGAGAATAGATTTTCAGGGACGGGACCTGTGACTTTACCAAAGGAAAGATCAAGTTGAGTTAAACTATATGGTAACTGAAGCAAGGAAGAAGAATTTACAGAAAATGAATTGAGAGAAAGCTTCAAAACCGATAACATGTCTAAAGAGAATAAAGGATCAAGCGAAATAGTTTCGGAAAGGTCATTGTTTCCGGTAACTTCTAGGCCAGTGACTCTTCCTACGGTGCAAGTGATGCCAAACCAGGTGCATGGGTTGGTTTTTGGATTCCAGCCTGATAAGACTCCATTTGGATCCTTCTGAATCATGTTTTTGAATGTGAGAAGCGCGTGTGCGTCAGTTTTGATGGAAGAAACTGGTGCAAGTGATTCTGCAGTAGTGATCATAGGAGAGGAAACTGTTATTATGATTGTGAGGAGGAGTGTTAGAGTGAGATGAGGTAAAAGGTGAAGTGGGTTGTTCTCCATTGAGAAAAGAGTTAAGTTTGTGGAAAGAGAGAGAGAGATGGGAGAAAACTTGGAAGGAAATATAGTGAGAGTGATGAGTGTGGAGAGTGTGGAGAGAGGAAAGAAAGAAAGAGTGAGTAGTATGATGAGAATTTTGGTGTGGGAAAATACTTTGTGAAAAGAGGTTTGCTTTATGTGTTTTTATAAAATTCAAAGGAGGGAAAGTGGAGAGAAGGGGAATAAGTTTGTGTGGTGGCTATTTTATGTATACTATATACACTAATATGTATTTGTTTCAATGTTTATTTTATAATCTTGATCCTCTACTTTTAATTTTTGAAAACAAAAATTCAAATATATGAAATTTTGATCCACCTAGATGTGTCTTTGGTTATGCTCTCAAGAAAAAAAATTGTTTTGAGTAAACTAGTTTTGAAAAATTTGATTCGAACGCAAAGTAAATTGAATGTCGTTAAGAGTCTCATATCGGATAATATATGATTTGAAGATATATTTATAAATGGAGGTAATCTTCATCCTACAAGTCAATTTTGTAGAATCGAGTTAGACTCAACCCACACGTTCTATTCTAAGAAATGCAAAAGTAATTTATATTTATGTTTGAATAAATTATTGTAAAAATTAATATTTGAATAAATTCTCTTGTAATAATAAGTTAAATAATAAATTTTGGTATAAATTACTAGGCAAACAAATAATAAGTTGCGCCGCTATTAATTCTTTTAAAAATTACATTTATTGTCCTAGGTGACACAACATTGCTATCACTATGCCACATAAGGGAATAGACAACACTTTTTTTTGCCATAGATAGCGTTTATAAGCGCGGCCTATTCCTGCACTGCTGTAACCATAGACAACGTTTTTTGTCTATGTGAAAGCGCTGCTTAATGTATACTTTAGACAACGCTTTATTGAATAAGCGCTTCCTAAAGGCCTCTATAGGCAGTCTTTTTACGTTATAAGTGATTTCTATAGTGTGCATATAACAACGCTTTCACTTTAGACAACGCTTTAGAAAGTGTTGTGTAATGCATTTTTTTCACTTTGTTTTTATATTTTAGACAATGCTTTATTTAGAAGCGCTTTTTAAAGTCTCCTTTAAGGCAGCGCTTGGTATTTCACAAGTGTTTTCTATTCTCCATCATAAGCAGTGCTTTTTGGTTTAAAGCGCTGTCTAATATTCACAAATTTTTTAATATATTCAGCTTATATTTTAAGCACCCTGTACACATAATCAGTTAAAATTTAAGCATTATCTTTTAAATTTGCACCAAATTTTATAAATTTGAAGCACCAATCCAATAAGTATGCACTAAATTTACATATTTATATATACAACTTTAATCCAATAATATATATATACATAAATGGGATACAACTTAAAGAATACAATAATTTATATATACATAAATTTAAATATTTACATATACAGATTTATAAACCAATAAATATGTATCAAATGTACATATTATTATCTTCTAGAGCTGCTATATTCTCTACTATCCTCTCCACAAATAACAACAATGAAGAATCCTAAATGAATTTATATATCTTCTACATATGCACCTACCTGAAACAAAACCAACAAAAGCATATATCATAACCAAGCTATATATATATATATATATATATATATATATATATATATATATATATATATATATATATATATATATATATATATATATATATATATATATATATATATATATATATATATATATATATATATATATATATAACACTTAAATTTTATAACTATTATAATTTAACACAAATCAATGTAACAAAAACAAATAAGAATCCGTTATAACCCAGCATTAAAAATTCTCCAATTCATACCATGATACAAACAAAATTTTGTTTGAATTTAAATCCGATACATTCCTAACTAGCCTTCCACATAACAACAACAACATTGCAACAATTTACCACACTAATGACGACATAGTATCTCATCAAAACTCAAACTTATATATACTCAAAATTCTCATCAATGAAAGTGTCACAATACCTTATAAAATTTCCATCTCAATAATGTATTGACACCAATCCTCTTTGATTTCGTCCAAATGATCTTTCGAATAAGTAGAATACTTGTATTCATCAAAGTACTACATAATATAACATAATATAATTTAGTTAAAACTAATTAATCATATGAAATGTGTTAAATATATTAAAATAAATCATAACTTAGAAACTCATATCATGGTTAGAATCTCTATTTGATTCAAAAGAATAATTTCTTTCATAAACCTCAACATGAAATAACCGTAATCTATACCATTACACTGACGAGGACACTACACATGGAAAAATATACAAATATATATTAGTATATATAGTTTAACTTGTTTTATCAAGTATTATCACTAATATAATCAAAATTGTGAAAATATACCTGCACTCTAATCCATGTAATGTTGTTTGCCTTACTCTTTGGTACTTGAATATCTCTTTGTGATCTAAAAATTTGTATAACTCTAACAAAATATAAACGAATATTTAGAACAATCTCACATAAAAAAATAAATAAGTATACAAATGAAGATTTAGTATAATCTAACTTACGTATCAACCATCTCCTTCATATTTAGATATTTTATCCAATCACCTTCTAATGAATTCAAATAATGTACAATTTCTCTTATTGGATTAATCGCAACCAACAATCAATGTCCACTATAAGATTAATAAAGGTTAGGTGGAAACTTTCTACAGAACGTCAAAACACGAAAAATTATAATATATGAAGTTTGAATGAAAATCTTACACATTGCCAGTATGCATGAACCTTTACATTCTCTGTAAAAGATCCACCGCTTCTGGTAATAGAAAATAAAAAATATCAAAGGTAAATGGTATAAAAGCATGGTGATTGCCGGAACATATTTTCTCATGGTTGGTCATTTTACTTGAAGCAGCTTTGAGAGCTGTCTGTCCCACAGTAAAACCTCTAGTCCTCAGTCCCACAAGTGATAAAGCTCCAATCAAATCTACACATGTATGTTTTCCTTCTACCCATCTATACACTAGAATATCTGGTGACCTAAAATTTGATTTCCCCTCTTGTAGGTTAGTTAAGAAATTCACAGGCGCTAGGGGCAGACTAGTGTATGGACAAGGGGGTATCACGGCCACCCCAATTTTAAATTTTTTTTTCATATAGTGAAAATAAACTTATGCCCTCCATTTAACATAAAAATTATAAAAATGTCATATACTATAACCTTAAACCTTTAGAATCATTTTCCAATACCAGTGGCTTTTTTTCTCAAAACTGAGAACGATACTCTCTGTCTCTCAAGCTCCACTACTTCGTCCACCACCCATACCACCTGTCGGCTGCTCTATAAACTGCATATTATTTTGGGTAATTGATTTTTTTTCTTTTTATTTATTTATCTACAACCTATAGTTTATGTTTCATAGAATAGATTATTAGGCTTTTTCTTCCATTTCACAAATTGATGAAACAAATCAACAATCAAATTGATAATATTGCGTTAATTTAAGGAATATTATGTCATATTGAATTGTGAATTTAGGGATTTGATTTTTGGGATTGATTCTCTCTTATAAGTTGTATTATTTTGGGATTTTGTTGTGTTGTGCTGAAATTTTAATTGAAGTTGAACAATACTTAACTAAAGATTTTTTTTTTTTTGTTAATTTCTTCAATTGATTTTGCAACACAAAAGTGATAATGAAGAGTAGAAAAATTGATTCTTTTTTCAAGAGGAAATAAAGAGATGACGAAAATTTGACTTCTATTTCTGAACCTCAAAGAGTTCTCGAGAATCCAAGAATTGAAGAAAATGTTAATAGAGTTTGCTCATATGACATTGAGAATTCTTTAGAACGTGATCCTGGAAAAAGTCCTCCAATATGGAAATATCCATTAAATTTAATGGATGAAATATGAAAAGTTTATTTGAAACGGGGTCCATGCAATTAGAGCAATATTCATTGTCTGGTAATGAAGACCATCAAAGAAGATTTCAACACTCTTGGTTTAGCCTTTTTCCTTCATGGTTAGAATATTCACCTTCAAAAGATGCTGCTTATTGCTTACCATGTTATCTTTTTAGCAAAATACCAAGTGGACGTCCAGGTTCAAATGTCTTCATTTCTACAGAATTTAGAGGTTGAAAAAAAGTTAGAAATGGAAAGCATTGTGTCTTTCTTAAACACATAGGGAAGAATCCTTGTTCACCACACAACAATTCTATGAAAGCTTAGTCAAGACTTATTAAATCAAAATGGACATATTAGGAACATTATTCAAGCTCAAAGTTCGATTAAAATTATAAAAAATCGACTACGTCTCAAATCTTCAATTGACACCGTTCATTGGTTAACTTTTCAAGCTTGTGCTTTTAGTGGTCATGATGAAAGTAAAGAATAATTAAACCAAGGTAATTTTATTCAATTGTTAAAACTCTTGGCATGTTACAATGATGAAGTAGCAAAAGTTGTGTTGGAAAATTCTCCATCTAATAGCAAGTATACTTTACATAAAATTCAAAAAGAGATCTTGCACATTCTTTCGAGTAGGGTGAAAAATCATACCCGTGAAGAAATTGGAGATTCCAAATTTTGTATAGTTATAGATGAAGCCCGTGATGAATATAAAAAAGAGCAAATGTCACTTGTTTTGAGATTTGTTGATAAAGAAGGTTTTATAAAAGAGAGATTTTTTGGCCTTGCACGTGTTAATGACACGACATCTTTAACTCTTAATAAAAAAATATGTGATATACTTTCTCTATATAACCTTGATGTCTCTAACATTCATGGTCAAGGGTATGATGGTGCTAGCAATATGCGAGGAGAATGGAACAGTTTACAAACACTATTTATGAAGGATTGTCCTTATGCATATTATGTTCATTGTTTTGCTCATCGGTTGCAACTTGCCTTGGTTACTGCATCAAGAGAAGTTAAATCAATTCATCAATTTTTTGATAAGCTAACACTCATTGTGAATGTTG